TTAGAAACAAAATTTCCCCCATTATCACTCTGAATAACTCTAGGCATTCCAAACAACGAAAAGAATCTTTCAAGACACTTGATGAGATTATGAGCCTTGGTATTCCGTAGAGCATAAGCTTCAGGAAATCTAGTAGTCATACACATGAGAGTGAACAAAAACATGTTACCCGATTTAGTCTTAGGTAAAGGACCCACACAATCAATTACAACATGAGTAAATGGTTCATCAGGAACTACAATAGGTTGCAATGGTGCTCTAGGTACAGATTGATTTGGTTTACCAACAATTTGACAGGGTATACAGTTATGACAATATCTGACCACGTCTTTCTTTAACTTTGGCCAGAAAAAATATTTACTTATCTTATGGTACATATTCGTGATACCTTGATGACCTCCCATGGGGTCATCATGTGCAGCCTGCAGGACCTGCCTACGATAATCATTGGGGACAACGAGTTGGGTTCTAATCTCACAATCCTCTGAAGAGGGAGTTCCCTTGGGTCTCCACCTTCTCATCAGAAGTCGATCCTTGAAGAAGAAACCCGTCCCTTCCTCCAATGCATCAATATTATCAGGAGCCTCAGAAATACACTTACTTAAACTAGGATCAGTAGTCTGTACAACACTTAAGGGCAATGACTCAGACTCAGCAGCGAGCGGGCAAGAACCTAGTAGCTTGATCTCTTTTCCCGATTGATCGGAATAAAATGGAGTCATAGCTACTTCGGCCTCACTCTCGACAACTGGCGCACTGGAGACAAGCGGGCAAGGTACAGATAGTTCAGCCTCCTCACCTTCACTTTCCTTGTGATTTAGGTTCGGCGGGGCTTCTACTACGGCCTCACTCTCATCATCCAGTCGAGTCATAAAAGAATCCTCAAGATCCACCTCCCACTCCTTTACTGAAGGGGTCCTGGTCTTGGGATCAGCAACCTTAGTGAAGACAGGATTACTCTCACCTGTTTTTCCCATTGATCTAGTAACAACACAAGCAGGGTAAATAATATCATCATCTGCTTCCGGTTGAGCTAATACATTATGGGGTTTAGTTAACATGATGGGACACTTGGGCCCTACAACCATTTGGTTGCCAAAATCATTACCTAGAATAATGTCTACCCCAGGAATGGGCAGTTGTTTACTTACACCAACATTACACCATCCTGAAGTATATTTAGAATCAAGGTTAACTTGCAATAAGGACACTGGTTGCACACTACCGGCAATACCCTGGAGAAGCACAACTTCACCCAGATCTCGGGTGTCAACATCATCAAGTACCTTCTGGGTAATAAGAGACTGTGAAGCTCCAGTATCACGGAGTAATTGAACAGTCTTATGTCTACCATTAGTACATAATAAGGTACCTGTGGACATATAGGGTTTGAATTCAGCCATCCAATTGGGACTGACTGTAATACATGAAGAATTAATAGGTTGCACTCCTTTACTCATAATAAGACCAGTTGGTCGGAGTTCAGGATGCAAACTAAAACATGAAGAAATCACATGCCCCCTTCTCTTACAATGGGTACAATGTTTGACAGTGGACACACTGGTATAACCAACTGCCGGTTTAGAATTAGCATTACTAGGCTTAGATGATCCTGGCAATGGAGTAACCATCTTAGGGTTAGTAAGAGAAGAGTTCACGGGAGTAACTGTCGCACCAGGAGGAGACTTATACTGATAAGGAGTACGGTGAGCATTGAAATTTACTCTACGACTAGACTTAGGTGAAGTGGCCATAAACGGGGCCTTAGTCAGCAACTCATGCTCATCCGCGAGCTTTGACAGCTCATCAATATCGGTTACATTCTTTTGTTCTGCCATAAAAGTAGACAACTGGTCTGGAAGACAGGACAATACTTCTTCCATTATGAGAAGATTCTTTAGAGCATCAAAATCAGTGACTGCAAGTGACTTTAACCATCTGTTGCAAAAATTCGTCTTCTGACGAGTAAAATCGGCTATTGTCTGATCCTTGATTCTCCTTAGGTTCCTGAACTTTTGCCTGTGTGCCTCTGGATTTAGTTGGTATGCATTGAGGATGCTTTTCTTTACAAAGTCATAATCAAAACTATGAGCGTCAGGGAGGGATGTGAAAACCTCCTGACTACGCCCCTTGAATTGAGACTGCATAATGGCTACCCACTGATCCCTTGGCCAGTTCATACTGATGGCAATTTTATTAAAATGTGCAAAGAAAACCTCAGGATCTTCCTCATTGAACTTGGGCAACTCTATATACTTATTCATCCTGATGGGATTATTATCACTATTTGTTGAAACATTACTAGTATTTCCATGCCCAGCTGCCATACGCTGTGATTCAAGCCTGAAGTTAGTGTCAGCCATTTGTTGTTGAATCTCTAATTGCCTAGTTTGTTCCTCGGCTTGTTGCTTCTTTGTGGCTTCTATTTGCAACTGTACCGCAATTTCTAAACGCCTAGTCTCTAGCTCCCTTTGCTGAGCTTCAGCCTCTAATATTTGCTGTTGCTGTTGAGCTTCAATCTCTCTTTGACGAGCTTCAGCCTCTAATATTTTCTGTTCTTTTTGAGCTTCAAGCTCTAATTGGCGAGCTTCTAACTCAAGACGCTTTAACGTCATCTGATCACTCGACTCCTCTCTTAACTCCTCTAGAATTTCTTCACCTAACTCCCCATTCTCAACAAAATGCGTCACAATGACTTTCAATATTTGGGCTTTAACCATTCTATTGCTGGCGGTCAAATCCAAATGATTTGCCATTTGTATTAACTCAGTCTTTTTAAGGTTCTGAATCCCTTCAAAGTCTGGGTGAGCCACCAACGCTGCAACTTTCTCCTCCATCGTTACTAACACTTGGCACTTAATTCACAAAAATTAATTAACACAATGGCACTGCACTACACTTCACTGTAAAATTGTCACCACACTGAAAATTCGCTTGGCCTCACTGCACAAACAAAATATATAGGATGACTTACCTCAAAATCGTGAAACGTTGTTACTTGACACACAGGAAGGCTTGCTTGGCACATGGAATAGTTCTTAAGAAACACACAGAGACACTTGACACTGGTACCTAGGAAGGCAAGGTTAGATTAGCATAGTTAAGTTAAAAATGGGACAATATTTCCCGGCACAGGCCCCCATAACTCTTTGTTACCTATCGTACGTTACGGCTCGTGATCCTACAGCAGCCAAACTTTAATAAGTCTAGGGATACGACACAACTGCTGTTCTCAATAGCGAATCACCAGTATAACCCCTTAATGGGTAATGAGCATAAAATAGAATCTTCATAGGACTGAAGAATAAAGACTAAGCATATATATACTATTTATATTAAATAAATCTCAAAGGCAAACAGATGATTATATGGTCACAATATATCACATTAAAAATATCACTGTAACTTCCAGACATTAAATCAATACTAAGAATAATTATATGGCTAGAATAAAAGAATGACTTAACTCCAACAAGTGTTATCTCCCCGGTTTCTGCTCAGCTACTGAACTCCAATATGAGAGTCAAAAAACACATTGCCTTGCCCCGCGAATAAATTGCCAAAGTTACAATATTTATTATTTCAACAATGGAGCACTATATTGTGACAAGAGTAATCTTAAACTAACTTAATGAATAATTAGTACATATTGATATAGACAACAAAAGTACGTGTTTCTTTACATAGTAATTAAAATATGCATACAGAATAGCATAATGGCATGCACACCCCAGCAACGGACGATCCCACGACAATTTGCCAGATACAGTTCACTCAATTATTATTTCACTCTGTTACCCACTGATGATCACATATAAATCATTAGTTCCCGTGGGAAAACTGATCACACAAAGAAATAAACAATCATTCCCACGATACGCTGGGCCTAACGCCAACACTGTAACATGAATGTGCATTTGCATAGAACATAAGTATAACAATATACATGCTTGTAATTTACATACAATTATAAATGTACATATTAATATATTCACTTACGTATCTTATAAGGGTACGTAACAACACATGTGGTACACTTACAAGGGGACACAGGTGGAAACAGAGTACCCAAATGAGCCACAGAGACATTAGAAGGAACTTTTGAAGTGTTAGAGTAGTTAATAAATTGAATGCAATAGGCAGTGATGTGGTGGAGGCTGACTCCATACACAGTTTCAAATGTAGATATGATAGAGCCCAGTAGGCTTAGGAATCTGTGCACCAGTCGAGAGACGGGACCAAAGAGCTGAAGCTCAACCCCCGCAAGCACAACAAGGTGAGTACAACACCCCTACTCCCAACACGTAACGTCCCATTCTCTATCTCCTGTCATCCAGTTCATCACTTTTTCATTTAGTATTTCTTTACCACCCATTTGGTCGTTCTTCATCATTCCATATTTGATTTTTTTTTTTAAATATATACAAGAGTTGTTACATTCTTGTACAGCCACTAGTACGCGTAGCGTTTCGGGCAGGTCCCTGGAATACGATCCCCTGCCGCGAAGAATCGTTGTTACAACCAAGTACACATTTTACTGTTGAGTTAAACAGAGGCTATAGTTAAGGATTTGCGCCCAGTAAATCCTCCCCGGCCAGGATACGAACCCAGGACAAAGCGCTCGCGGAACGCCAGGCGAGTGTCTCACCACTACACCACGGAGACTTGTACAACACTGTTCATCCTCCGTCTCCCGGTGTGGCTCTCGGGGCTCCCGTCCCTCACATATTCTTGACCAATTGCCAATTGATTGTGGCTGTTAACTTCTGTTCAGATCTCGTCTGTCTTTCCTTTATAATTGTGGTGGCTCAGTAGGTTTGGTTGAGTGTAGTTTGGAGACCTAATGGTGGGTCCCCTTTACCCTTGGCAGGGGGGTGTTAAGGGTATATTGGTCTCCCCATTACCGTGTACATGAGAGGTGGTGTTAAAGGCATAATGCTCACCTCATACCTGGGTGACATATATTATGGGTATATTGATAACATCATTTTTGGGGGGGGATGTTTGAGGAATATTTTGATGACCATCATTATGGCAGAAAGGGTAAGGACGTATTGATGACCTCACATGGTTATCTTGAGATGATTTCGGGGCTTAGCGTCCCCACGGCCCGGTCCTCGACCAGACCTACTTTTTGTTACCCTTAGGAAGCAGCCCATAGCAGCTGTCTACCAGGTACCTATTTACTGCTAGGTGAACATCGGGGGCATCAGGGTGAAAGAAACTCTGCCCATTTGTTTCCACCTCCACCGGGGATCGACCCCGGAACCTAAGGACTATGAACCCAGAGCGCTGTCCACTCGGCCGTCATGCCCAATACACGGAGGTGGTAAGGAGATATTGATGGAATGTGAGATGGGACAAGAGGCGGCCAGTGCTTGGCGTGGCGTCATATGAACTAGTGGCAAAATCACCCATATGCTTCCCCCTTACCATGATAGGACAAAAGCTATTCAACCCGGAACTGTAGTTCGTCCACTGGGATAGTCTGGAGGCCCCAGCTGGTGCCACAACCAGGTTTTATGAATAACCCGCCTACACTTTGGCTTGTGGGTAATGGTGTTCTCCACCATTTTGGTCAGTAGAGTTCTGGGTTGAGTAGCCTTTGTCCTATCAGTGCCGAGTAGATTAAGGCAAGCGTCTGGGAGTCAGCTAGAATGCTGCTTCAAATCCCGCATCCTTCCAAATGATTTTGTCACTGTTTCATGTGGCGTCACGCCAAGCACTGGTCGCCTGTCGCCCTACCTCATAGTCATCACTGTCAGGAAAACACACCGTCAGCAGTGACGACGTCAGGAAGAACGCCGTCAGCAGCAGCAGTGACGACGTCAGGAAGAACGCCGTCAGCAGCAGCAGTGACGACGTCAGGAAGAACGCCGTCAGCAGCAGCAGTGACGACGTCAGGAAGAACATCGTTAGCAGCAGTAACGACGTTAGGAAGAACGCCGTCAGCAGCAGCAGCAGCAGTGACGACGTCAGGAAGAACACCGTCAGCAGCAGCAGTGACGACGTCAGGAAGAACGCCGTCAGCAGCAGCAGCAGCAGTGACAACGTCAGGAAGATCACCGTCAGCAGCAGCAGTGACGGCGTCAGGAAGAACGCCGTCAGCAGCAGCAGTGACGACGTCAGGAAGAACGCCGTCAGCAGCAGCAGCAGCAGTGACGGCGTCAGGAAGAACGCCGTCAGCAGCAGCAGCAGCAGTGACGGCGTCAGGAAGAACGCCGTCAGCAGCAGCAGCAACAGTGACGCCGTCAGGAAGAACGCCGTCAGCAGCAGGGTGGGAGGGAGGAAAGACCTGCTGAAACATTAACCTTGTTTGGAAAGCTTTTCAACTGGCGGCGGCGCAGGGCGAGCGTAGTAAAGCGAGGACTGAAGGCAAATTAGATTAATATTTCAAAGGGAGTTGCCAGAGGGACGATAAGTGCCTTAGGTGAGGCAGGTCCCCAGGGGGCGCCCCCGTGGAGTGCGCTGAAGCCCTGGTGTGTGGTGGGTGTGGTGTGGTGGCGTGGTGTGTGGTGTAGTGGCGTGGTGTAGTGTGTAGCGGCGTGGTATGGTGTGTAGTGGCATGGTGTGGTGTGTGGTGGTGGGTGATGGTATGTAGTGGTAATTACCTAAGTGTAGTTACAGGATGAGAGCTACGCTCGTGGTATCCCGTCTTCCCAGTACTCTTTGTCATATGATGCTGTGAGAATACTGACGGTTTTGGCCTCCACCACCTTCTCACTTAACTTGTTCCCGCCGTCTACCACTCTGCTAGCATAAGAGGACTTTCTAATATTTTTTCGGCATCTTTGCTTCGTTAGCTTGAGTCAAAGACCTCTTGTTCTTAAAGCTGCAGTTTTCAAGAATTCCTCTTTGTCAAATTTATCGATTCTTCTTACTATTTTGTACGTAATGATCATATCACCTCATTTTTCTTCTTCTATCTTCCAGTTTTGCCAAATTTACCAGTGAATTCTGGGAAGTGAAATGTAGCTTTTATGCAGACGAAGAGTCACAATAACGTGGCTGAAATATGTTGACCAAACCACACACTAGAAATGAAGTTTATGCTACGCCTAAAAGCCTTGTTTTGCATTTGTTATATAATTTAACTATACTGACGTGAAAGATGTGAGTGGAGGTGGCTTCTACATCTTCTTCACCGTTCAGAATACAGGTATCTCCTTACCTTTATAAAACTCATTTGCGTTTTCAGCTTCCACCTATGTCCTCCTGCTCTATTTTCTCTCAGTTTGAAGAAGCTGTCTTTATCCACTTATCCCCCCCTCAGTATTATGTATATTGTGATCATATCCCTCAGTTTTTCTGGCCTCTAGGGTTGTGAGATTTGGTTCCCTTAACCTACCCTTGTAGTCAGGTGTGAGAGCCACATCTGACGGCAGTGGTGGGCATACTCATCCTTGTAGTCAGGTATGATCAGTGCCCACCACTGCCACCTGATATCAGTGCCCACCACTGCCACCTGATATCAGTGCCCACCACTGCCTCCTGATATCAGTGCCCACCACTGCCACCTGATATCAGTGTCCACCACTGCCACCTGATATCAGTGCCCACCACTGCCTCCTGATATCAGTGCCCACCACTGCCACCTGATATCAGTGCCCACCACTGCCACCTGATATCAGTGCCCACCACTGCCACCTGATATCAGTGCCCACCACTGCCACCTGATATCAGTGCCTACCACTGCCACCTGATATCAGTGCCCACCACTGACGCCTGATATCAGTGCCCACCACTGCCACCTGATATCAGTGCCCACCACTGCCACCTGATATCAGTGCCCACCACTGCCACCTGATATCAGTGCCCACCACTGACGCCTGATATCAGTGCCCACCACTGCCACCTGATATCAGTGCCCACCACTGCCACCTGATATCAGTGCCCACCACTGCCACCTGATATCAGTGCCCACCTCTGCCACCTGATATCAGTGCCCACCACTGCCACCTGATATCAGTGCCCACCACTGCCACCTGATATCAGTGTGTTATACTCAATTTCTGTCAGTTGAAATGTAACCAATCGCAGGCAAGTAGGCCTCTGACGTCATGCCAGACAGAGGAGCATCAGCCATGCTCCCAGCAGCCTCAGTTATCCTCACAGGCTCAGAGTAGAAGGACCTCGGCTAGGCAGATATATACCTTGCTATCTAAGTCAATAAATATATACAGAAGCGACTACTGTGTCTACATTCTACCCGAACAAGGCAAACGAATAAGTGCCCACCACTGCCACCTGATATCAGTGCCCACCACTGCCACCTGATATCAGTGCCCACCACTGCCACCTGATATCAGTGCCCACCACTGACGCCTGATATCAGTGCCCACCACTGCCACCTGATATCAGTGCCCACCACTGCCACCTGATATCAGTGCCCACCACTGCCACCTGATATCAGTGCCCACCACTGCCACCTGATATCAGTGCCCACCACTGCCACCTGATATCAGTGGTGCACATACTCATTACACACACTCATTAACTGCACCATTTAGGCAAGCTTGGCGCAGGAATGAGGTGAGGTGTGTACGTTAGGCGTGTAAGGACTGACGTTAATCTTCCGCTCCACAGTTCAATGGAAGTTGGAAGGAGTTGGCGCTGTGTTCACATTCATCGCTAACTTGGGGAGAGGCAATCAGGGCCTTGGGGGGTAGTAATAGCCCAGATAACTAAGGCTTTATATATATCTTTCAATCGCCAGTAAATTCGAGGAAAAATATGCTTAATCGCAAGTATTTAAAACTAATTAAAAAGTTTGAATATGAGAGTGATATATGAATGAAGATGGTGGGGGCACATGTTGGCCTGTCACGCTGTCTCTCATTGTCTCTCTCACTGTGTCTCTCATTGTCTCTCTCACTGTGTCTCTCATTGTCTCTCTCACTGTGTCTCTCATTGTCTCTCTCACCCTAACTTCTGCCACCACCTACGGGGAAGAGGGGCGTTAGCATTCAGCCCCGCCTGTGTCTGTCTCTAGCCCTATATAAGCCATCTTTAACCACTAATAATGGACACACACACAGAGCATCGCTCGTGTGCCAGGTAAGTCCATTTCGGGTTCACCATAGCCCGTGCTACTTGCCCCGCTCCAGTGCCAGGTAAGCTACGGGACTTACCATAGCCCGTGCTACTTGGAAATTGTTCCGAATAGCTGAATCTATGACAACAAGAAGAACAACACTAATAATGCCTTCATTAAGGTGTGTGGCGACCAGGGAGCCTTATGCCATATATTCACAAAACACTCTTGGTTATCACAGTACTGAGACCTGGTTAATGCCGTGTTGGATTAGTGTTCCGCCGCAAACCTCCACGCACCTCTACACACCTGGACACGGAGTGGGTGAGGGTTGGAATCAACAGTTGTGTGCTGACACCACTCTAAGAACTCTGACGTATGTCTTCACTTATAACTACATGACAAGTATTTAAGATATAATTTTGCCAGCCGTGACGGAAGGTATCTGGTTACAAGTATAGGGAAGGTGAAGGGTCATTCCGTCTATCTTGAGGTTATCTTGAGATGATTTCGGGGCGTTAGTGTCCCTGCGGCCCGGTCCTCGACCAGGCCTTCACCTCCAGGAAGCAGCCCGTGACAGCTGACTAACACCCAGGTACCTATTTTACTGCTAGGTAACAGGGGCATAGGGTGAAAGAAACTCTACCCATTGTTTCTCGCCGGCGCCCGGGATCGAACCCGAAGAAGAAGAATAGAGGAATAAGGTGCGGGTGGATGTTAACTTGGTGTGAGGGATAGTACTCTGAAGGGAGAGGGAGGAAATTATCAGGGGAAAGCGCCAAGCTATTACGACTATATAGCACTTGGAAGGGATCAGGATAAGGATTTGGGGGTAGGACGAGGGGAAGGAATGGTGCACAACCACTTGGACGGTCGGGGATTGAACAGCGACCTGCACGAAGCGAGACCGTCGCTCTACCGTCCATCCCAAGTGGGTGGACGGTAGAGCGTCCACTTGGCTTACAAGTGGACGCCAAGAATGGAGCAGACCATAACTGCAGATAGGATAGAAATTTGACCACTCTCAGAAGGAAGACACATTAGGAGAGTGTGAATGATAATGTAACAAACTAAAGGCAAAACTCCCACACAGTCATATCATACGTTATCGAGGTAGCAAGGAATCAGAATACGCCAGAAAATAGCGGACTCAGACACGATAGCATAATGGAGGAGGTATGTTATATACGAGATAAAGGTTGGTGACTCTTGAGGCTCTGAGAGATGTTACACACGAGGGTACTCTACTACTCTAGAGCACACCGCTACTCTATCACAGTACCTACCTTGAGGCTACCTTGAGGTGCTTCCGGGGCTTAGTGTCCCCGCGGCCCGGTCGTCGACCAGGCTCCTGGTTGCTGGACTGATCAACCAGGCTGTTAGACGCGGCTGCTCGCAGCCTGACGAAGTAATGAAGAGGTTGGGATAAAGAGAAACCACACACAGGATTGTGGAGGTTTCTCTTTATAATCCGGGTAATATGATACACAACATACAGATCGTTATGGCCGGTTAAGGGTCCATTATGTACAACCCCACAAGAACCGCCACCTGCCACTAAGTAACCGGTTAAAGCTAAGTATTAGTACAATTTTGATGATAGACTTCGCCTGCGCACCTTTGGGGAACGATGCATACCTAGCACCTCTGGAGAACAGTGGATGCCTAGCACCTCTGGAGAGCAGTGGATGCCTGGCACCTCTGGAGAGCAGTGGATGCCTGGCACCTCTGGAGAGCAGTGGGAGCCTACCGCCTGGTGGTATGGTACCTGCGGCCTCCTGATACTATGGTACCTGCGGCCTCCTAGTGACTGAAATGTGGTTGTTGCTAACCTCAGACTTATTGTGTTCGTGAGAGTTTGATCCAGTTAAATTCTCTGGCAGAGTTTACATATGGAGTGCTCTGACAGGTTACATATGGAGTGCTCTTACAGAGTTTACATATAGAGTGCTCACAAATGGCACAGTGGTTATTACGCTCTTCAGACTCGGTATGAAGTATACGTAGAGCTTTGCAATGACTGTATGCACCTGTGTTGTTGATGAGCTGCTCCTGCACATATGACCACTTTCCTGAATATATATATATATATATATATATATATATATATATATATATATATATATATATATATATATATATATATATATATATATATATATATATATATATATAGCCGCCCACCTCACCATCCAGCACTGATCGTGACGCCTCTGCCACCTCCTGACCACCATAGCCAGCCCCACCTCACTACCACCAATGGCTACACCAGTGTA